AAATGGTCTAAACAGAAAGTCTTTATTTTCCATTAGACAAAAGATTGATTCAAGTCCATTCTTACTTCGTTTAATTGTCATACAGAAAGAGTCTTTACTTTTAACTAGATATAATGCTAGTCAAGTTCATGCATCATTTGTTTAATTTTGCAAACAGGAAGATCAACTTTTTTTTAGAAATCCATTATGATTTTGGGGGAAAAATTGGTAGCCATTTTGGAAAAAAGGCACACCTACTTTTTTTTACATTATGGCTATTTAACTTGGGATATCATATTCATCTTTAAAACAGTTTTTTCCTTTTTGTATTGAAATCTAGCAAAAAACTGCATTTACACAAGGTTTACATGCATGTTCTATTTTTTTTATAATGACTACCATCTTTTTCATCAAATCACCACAAAATTAGGACACTTCAGCATTTATTTTTAAGCACTTTTAGGCATGTTATATAGGCACTTTCAGGCATTTTAATGACATAAATTTGGCCCCGATTTCCTAAACTGTTGGGACCAAAACTCCCAAAATCAATCCCCACTTTCCTTTTGTGGTCATAAACCTTGTGTCAAAATTTTACAGATTTCTATTTACTTAAACTAAAGTTATTGTGCAAAAACCAAGAAAATGCTTATTTGGGCCCTTTTTGGCCCCTGATTCTTAATTATAACTGTTGGGACCAAAACTCACCAAAATCAATCCCAACCTTCCTTTTGTGGTCATAAACCTTGTGTTAAAATGTCATAGATGTCTATTTACTAATACTAAAGTTATAGTGTGAAAACCAAGTCTTGGGACGACGACGACACCTGAACGTGATACCAATATACAACCTAAAGCTTTTCAATTTTTGCAGTTGTATAAAAAGTAAACCTTTTGCAGAATAAATTTCAGTTTTGAAATCGTATGTTGGACAGCATTAATTTATTGAAATATTTATTTCAAATGCAGTTGATAAGTTGTAACAGAGAAAACACACCATTGGTTTGAAATATGATGTCATTTTGACCTCCGTAGCAGATTTCATAAATATATATGGGTCACTGCATATTCACAATATATTTCAGATCGTCTGTTTTGATGTCAAAGATTATTTTATTTTCTATACTTTTCTTTCAAATTCGTTTTAATCCAAAATAAAAAATAAAAACATTGCTTGATTGTACCTTCAGTTTAATATCTATATCCAAATTAAATTAATTAAAAGCTGTAATCCATGATCACAAATTGAATGCTTTGTTTACAATTGTTGAAAGTCATGTGCTTTTAGGCTGGGTTTTTTCCATTATATACAAGCAGATTATTTGAGTGAAAAAAAAAGGTCTGGCAGAAATGTGATGGGTCTGGCAAAACTTGTTACCCTGTAGGCCCCAATGTCTGACAGGAAAAAAAAACTGTTTGCATCTCTGGATAAATGTATGTTTTGGGCCCCTTTGGGTCCCTAATTCCTAAACCAATGGGACCATAACCCCCAAAATCAATCCCAACCTTCCTTTTGTAATTACCCCCCAAGGGTGACTGGGGAATAGAAATATGGTCACCATTGGTCTTCCTCCGACCGGCAGTAAAACCCGTGCTAAAGTGGGGCGTCCGTTTGGCTGTGCGGGATGTACAAATTTGCAGCCACGTCCGGTCAGAATGGTGACGTTAAATCCGATGCCTCGTGTAAAGAAAGTGCCACGTTCTTTGCACGTTAAGAACCCTTGCAACAACTCTTTGAGGGGTCCGTAGGTGACCTGTTGCAAGGCTAAATTTCTGTCCCTATCCAATATACCCTCATTTCCCGTGGCAGTCTAAATTTCTCCGACCTTAATCCCTTAATCTATTACAGAACCTACCTATTGTATTTATTGTGAACTTGTTCTCGTCCTGAATATGCATGAAATATTTGCCACTGGACGTTAAGCAACCAACAATCAATCAATCAATCCTTTTGTAATTATAAACATTGTGTTAAAATTTTATTGATTTTTATTAACTTTTACTAAAGTTATTATCCAGAAACATCCGTCTTCGGACAACAACATGATACCAATATACGACCACAAAATTTTTTTTTGCGGTCATATAATAATTACTGAAAGATTTGATGAGGCTTTGAATATATATTTTGTAATATTTCTATTAATGATTTAAAAAACTGTTATCACAGAGATATGTCTCGCCTTTCTGTTATTTTGATTATGCAAATGTTGAAATCCAAATAGCAATAATCTAAGATCTTACACAAGTTATGCAAATATTCAAAGTCAATAAACCATAATATGGCTAAACAATGTCCAATGTAATTGAACTGTGCCAATGCTATTATAACTGCATACCAAATACCATTGTCCTATTATAAGTCGTTCCCAAATATAAATACAAACATTAACTTGTAAACTTTGTAAAAGTTTCAAAGTCAATGAACCATAAAGAGGGGGTGGGACTATATAATCTCCATGGAAACAATACTTGCAAATGCAAATAAATTTGTATACCAAATATCATTGACTTAACATAAGCAGTTCATCTTAAACTGATCTAATCACAAACTAGTACATGTAAACTAAGATAAGTTTCAAAGTCATTAGACTAAGGGGCAAGGCCAAATATTCTCCATGGAAATGAGATGTGCCAATGCTTATACAACTGAATACCAATTAACATCGGCCTACCACTAATGGACTAATGGTTCCCCTTGAACTAACCTAATCACAAACTAATACAAGATAACTTAGAAAAAATTTCAACGTCAATAGACCATGACTTAGGGGCGGAGCCAAATTATCTCCATGGAAACGAGATATGCCAATGCTTATACAACTGCATACCAAATATCATTCACCTACCACTAATGGTTCCCCATAAACTGACTTCATCACAAACAAACACATGCAAAATAAGCAAGTTTCCAAGTCAACAGAGTTCGCGAAAATGGTCAGTCCTGTCAGTCCTATTGGTCAAAATGAGTCTCGGACGAGTATTTTGAAGGCTAGTGCCAGTCCAAATGACAGATGTAAAATGGCCGTTGCAGTGCCTTTTTATTGGTAATTAGATGTACCGCAATTAATTCCAGTACATGTTTACATCGGTCATCAGATTTACCTGCAGCTTAATATCTGGTACGGGTTTCCTATTATAAACAAACTGAAACCAAAGTGCTGATCTACATGTGACCTACTAAATTTGTTCATATAGCCATCCCAAGCAATCAATCAGGGTTTGAATCTTTTGATGGAGATAACAAATACTGAGAAAGTGATTCAGATGATGAAATAGATAGTGAAGATGACTTTAAATAAGAACAATCAGAAGAACAGAACTGGTCCTTGGCTTAATTGTTACTTTGTCTGTGGCTGTGAAAAATAAAACTAATAATAATAAAATTATTTATTGATAAAATATGTTATTATTTTTATTTGAGGATAAAATTGACAGATTTTTTAGGACTGGCTAAGATTTTGTAGGACTGACAAATAATCTTGCATTGTCCGTCCCATGAACCGACATTTCAAAAAACATGTTCGCGTACTCTGAGTCAATAGACCATGACTGAGGGGGCAGGGCCAAATAATCTCCATGGATATGAGATGTGCCAATGTTTTTACAACTGCATACCAAGTATGATTGACCTACCACTTGCTGTTCACCATAAACTACACCTAATTATATAATCACAAACTATATCTATGTCTTGCTATGTCAAGGCGAGACAAAAATCAAGTCTGAATCGCTCACCTATAGCATATTACACTTTGAAAAATAAAACTACTGTAATTTTGAACAACGATTTAATACACTACACATTAAATTATAATAACAAGGGCCATAACTCCAATATAGGTTCAAGAATTTTCATGAAAATCTGAATACAGGTAGAACTCATCACACTGAACTGGAGGAATTAGCACCACCAACATCAAGGCTTTACAAATTTTAACAGAAAAGCATACATGTAGCCAAAAACTTTTTAGGAAGGTGGCAGTCATTTTGAAAATTACTTCCATGAACATTATCATTCAGTAGTTTCCATGAAGTCAAGGTTTTTGAAAAAGTGTATGGACGATGGACACACATAGTGAATGCATAAACTCACATGGTTCAAGCTAGGTGAGCTAAAAATAAATTGTCTATTTTTTTTTTATACAAAGTCGTAAGTTGAATAAAATTGAGAAAGGAAATGGTGAATATGTCAAAGTGACAACAACCTGAATATAGAGCATACAACAGCCGAAGGCCACCAATGGGTCTTGAATGTAGCGAGAATTCCCGCACCCGTAGGTGTCCTTCAGCTTGCCCCTAAAAAATATGTGTACTAGTACAGTGATAATGGACGTCATACTAAACTCCAAATTATACACAAGAAACTAAAAATAAAATCATACAAGACTAACAAAGGCCAGAGGCTCCTGACTTGGGACAGGCGCAAAATTGCAGCAGGGTTAAACATGTTTATAAGATCTCAACCCTCTCCCTTATACCTCAATCCAATGTAGAAAAGTAAACGAATAACAATACGCACATTTAATTCAGTTCAAGAGAAGTCTGAGTCTGATGTCAAAAGATGTAACAAAAGAAAATAAATAAAATGACAATAATACATAAATAACAACAGACTACTAGCATATATATAATTGAGCAAGAGTAACAATAAACTCAATAAGTCAATAACAAACTTTATAAAACTAAGTTTAACTCAGTAAGGGACTGACCATTTCATTTCAAGGGGGGCTTGGGTTTTTCCCCAGCTCAGATTATTTTTCACACACAGCGCAAGAAAATTCATTTACTTAATTATTGAGCACATATTTAATCAAATATTTTTTTCAATATTTACATCAGAATATTGTTTTTATTTACATTTTTTTTCTTGCCCTCCCTCACCAAATTTTTTTTCTTCAACATAACATAAACTAATTATGGATGAAATATATATTTCTTTTTTAAAACTAAACACTCTACCTTTTGAAGTTAAATGGTCCTTCCCTTATAAACAAACAACAAACAGAATTATCAGATACCTAGTGCTTCAGTTTTTATTTTGTGAAAGTCATTTCCAGGAAACACATGCATGTCTTTTGTTTTTACTGCAATGCTGAAAAGCACGAAATGTTAAGTGAATATCTAGATCTGAAATTGGCTCAGGGACTTAATAAGCCAATACAGACATGACAGAAACTAAAAACTTAATATCTTGGTTATCAGGCATTTTATAACCTTTATATCTCTGATAGACGTGATATGTATATGTATTTACTCTGTTGGATGCCCTTTCTTGACCTACGTATACTAACCCTGTGATAAAAACAGGAGAAACATGTTTGTGCACAATTTTGTAATATGTTTGCGCACAGACTGTGTAAGAAAAGGAATATGAAGGAATAATGATGTAGGCATATGTCCACAATATACTTTCAAATATTTCTTGCATTGTAAAAACCCAAAATGTTGGGAATGGACTTTAACCATTCAGCCTTACCAAGACTGAGGTGGAGTCATTCAACCTTATATAAATATAGGTCACAGCTAACAAAGCGTTCATCCAATCAACTTCCTTCCCTGGATAAAATGTAACTTTCCTAGATACCTGGTATGTTTTAATTGAACAGTCCAAAGCAGGAATGGACTAATCATTCTTTCTAACTGGACAACAATGAGGACACTCATGGTATCACAAAAGCCTCCTTCACTTTATGAGGTGAGCTATAAAGGCTATGACAGGGGTTGAAAACGCCATGTGCCATGCTCAATTTTCTAATACTGCAACCTGCATGTACATCTAATGATCTTGCACTATTTTTTTTTTTTTTAATTAATTTCAAAATATAAATGAATTACTAAATCCTTTACTATTGGCATACAAGGCCTCAAATGCTGTAGTAAACACAAAATGTAGTGAACCACATTTTTATGGACCAAAGAGGGAGATTGCAACAACATTACAGTAAAATACTTGTAACTGACAAAGGAAGACCTGTGAATTTAATAAGTAAATAATCTTACTATGCGTTATCTGAGTAGCAATATATTTCAGTTTCTAAATGCTCCTGATTCACCACTCTTACAGGCCAAAGGATAGGTGTTTGTGGCAGTTTGGACCATACAATCCTACAATTAACAAAATGTTTTCTATAAACAAAAATCACATATGACATGTATAGTTCAAACAGTAGAAAGTAGATTACAAAAATACCAAACTCAGAGTAACTTTCTCACTTTTGAGATACATTTGTTCTGGTTTTTAACTGGTTTGAGATTTATCTATTTCACCCTAGGGTTGAGACAAAACAGTGGAGCATTATGACGTCACTGACATTTATGTTTGTCCCAAGTCAGAAGCCTGTAATTCAGTGATAGTTGTTTGTTGCTGTGTTAGACTTACATATTTGTTTTTTTTGTTAATTTTTTGTACATTAATTAGGCCGTTAGTTTTCTCATTTGAATTGTTTACATTTGCTATTTCAGGGCGGCCTTTTATAGCTGACTATGCAGTAACGGCTTGGCTCATTGTTGAAGGCCATATGCCCCATGACCTATAGTTGTTAATTTCTGTGTCATTTGGTCTCTTGTGAAGAGTTGTCTAATTGGCAATTGCACCACATTTTCTTCTCTATATTTCAATCAATGTTTACAAATGGCGGATGAAAGTGAGCGAAAAAATGGTTGGCATGAAGTGTGAAAGTTAGAAAATGAATCAAACACAGATGGAAGTACGTACAAGATAGAAAAATCTCAGACACCCTCAGGTAAAATTTCAATCACTCTCGGACTCGGGAAGGATTTTTGCATGAACCCCCTGCTTATATATTGGCGAGTTTTAGATGGGTCTATGGGCCACTCGATATCTCTCGGCCGGAAGTCAGAATAAATTTCTTGAAACGTCTCGAAAGTTTTGGGTCATTAATACAGGTCTTAACAGGTCGTTAACAAGTCTTTGATGTGGTCCCTTGATGGCCCTTGACGATGCAATTATATGTTTTAAAATGACCACTGTACAGTGTGTGTATCTAGGTCAATTATAAAGTGGTAGTGTCTGTTGTCTCGATAACATGTAAACTAATTATGTTTGAAGATTTTACCACGGGATACTGTGTATTCCATCAAAGATTTGGGAGAGAAAACATTCTGATTAAAAAAATAATATCAGATCGGAAAACAGAAAGATAATATCATTCTTATCAAATTTATTTTATTCAATCCGAATCATAGAAATATGTATAAAATATATACTGTATTTATGTGTCTGAAGAAACTAACAATAATTGAAATCAGAAAGTTTTCAGAGTTGCAAATAAGAAATAAGCATTTTATATGACAAGATACTCTCCTTTGATATTTTTAAATATTCATTTGTACAAGAAACATAAAAATTAAATCTTAATAAATTCTTGCATCATACAAAAAAATGTTTATAAACAATAATCCTTATATTTCTCCGTTATTTATTTCATACCATTTTGTTATTTGGGTTTGATGAGTAATTATTTGTTTTTTGTATTATTATATATTCAGAAAACAGAAAGTAAGATAAATTTAGTAAATATTCAAACTTTGAACGGTCGTGAATATAAATAGTTGTGTGTTTTCAATTCATAAAGCATGATTTAATCCTTGCAGCTCACATCAACCCTAAAAATAATTTACAATTATCACAACAAAATTTAATTACGACCATAATGTTGATTATTTCATACTGTTTTAGCATGGATTTAGAAGCATTTGCTTATATTTTGCATAGTAATATATGGACCATAATTTGCTATTGGGCTCGTTTCCTATAACTATAGAAAAGTGATAAAAATGTGTATTACTGTAAGAAAAGTCGTAACTACATCTAAAGAAGCCTTTATTTTTATCAACATACAAGTGTATGCTACTCATCCCTAGAAAAAAAATTGAAATTTACAAATTTCAAAGATTATACGACCGTATTTTTGTGTCGTTTCTCGCGTTACTTTTCGCTTCCGAAGTGCATAACGCTGACTGATTTATAGATAATCGTCACCGGCAAATTCGTAACTTTTGCTTTCAAATAATAAAGAACATCGACCAATAAGAATAGTCAAAAGAAAATGCCGAGAATTATAAGTATTTCTGTAGCAGATGTAAGAATAGTGGCGTTACTTTGGAGTCCGATTTCGTAACGCAAATTTTAGATGATGTAATCTGCTTTGTTGTAATAGAATTCTTTATAACAATATGCAAATATGAACTCTCGCGAGATGTTCAAACAGGTAAATCAGAGAGGATTTACATTCTAGTTCTGTTCTTCGTAATAATCAAGTTAAAAAATGACGTTATCGTTATGCGTTACATTTCACACGAAACAGAAGTCCAGTTATTTCCTTTTTTTTAATAAAAAATGTTTGTCTATTCATTTCCGGTCATACGTGAAACATGTGACTAACATGTGATCACGCCATTACGGCCGGATATACGAAATACTAGGTCTAAACATTGTTTTTGTTTCCAACGGGATGTTAGCAAACATAATCTGTAGACTTGTTTCGTCTTGTTTAAAAGAGGAAAATACAATTTTCAAAGATATTGCGCCGGGGGTCTATTATTTTTCCTATGTGCATAATGTTACATACGATCCTGTGTGAAAATAAATGCCCAATGACTTGACAAAATCGATTTCAGATTTGACAGACGTTAGAACACACTTCGTTTCCCGATAACGATGTAAAGAGTCCTTGGAAAATTCAATCGAAATTACGTCTCTTATCATTGTACCAATGCTCGTTGGATTAATTTTACTTCAGCAGTAAATATTACTGGATATTTTAGGTGAATAAATATAATTTAATAAAAAATACATGTTAATATACCGTTACACTTGGAATGTACAAAGTTGGTATCTTTGTCACAATTTTTAATTATTTTTTTTTATTCATGTTCTGCAAACACTTATCAGAAACGCAATAAACTTGTCAAAGGAGAAGTAAACTTTTACCATGCATGACTTGAAAGGAAGTAATTTATTGATTTAAGCCCACTAAAGTAGGTTAAAATGTGGAAACCATGTAGATGGTGTACAGGTCACAAATATCACATGGTGCCTATTTTAAAGATTTTAATTCCAAGTTAAAAGTTTTTTTCTTTACTGGATTTAAAGAATTTTACATTGCCAATGATTTGGAATAAATTGTATATAACTGGAATTTCAAAACCAAATATAAATACATTTTTTTGGCTTAAACATCAAGATACAACGATTATGGTATCCTGTATCAATGAAGAAAAAATGGAAATTTCTGAATACATTGTACTAATTGTTTTCAAAACAAGCACATATTTAGGAGTTTCATAGTACTGTTACATTAAAGATGGATTTTAAGAAAAGGTATACTGTTCAGGTTATTTTAAGCAGATTTTGCAATAAAATAAAACTTAAAAAATGTTTTCGGTTTCTTATGGTTTCCTGTCGCGTTTAAAAAAAACTTTAATTTAACATTGAAAATAGATTTTAAATATCAACATGAAGCAAGTAACACTAGTAATGGTGTTCATTTATGTCTTTTGAAAAATATTGTGCAAAATAAAGAAAATAAAGATTGGTTTCCTGTTTGGTTTCCTGTCACGTAAACGGTGAATCAAAATGTATTAATTTTTTCTTGAAAAACTCAATTGTTCCATTAATACTATTCTAACACCAACACAACCCACAGAATAAAAGTTAAAGTTTTAGAACTTATAAAAAAGGATACCAAAAGAAACCAAAGGCCGAATACCAAATTATGGTCCATATTCACAATGTGGAATGTTTGAATTTGAAAATAGATTCATTCTACCCAAAGAATAGATTCCTTAAATTTGAAATGTACATGTATTTAGCCTTTTAACTTTTTTCATTCGAGCGTCACTGATGCTTTTCTTGTAGACTTAACTCGTGTCTGGCGAACATCATTTTAATTTTGGTATCTTTTTATAGCTACATACCTATTTATATAAATTGGTTATTTCGAACGTGTGTGAAGGTATTCATAAACTTCTGAATTAAGAAATTCTTCGGCAAAACAAAGTTTCCCTGTATAATGTTTGAATTGATTTAAGCAAAATATAAAGATATGATAGATAAAATAAAGGCATCCATAATTCTAGATTATAAAGCAAACTGAGTGCATAAATTTATATTGCGATAGGTTTGTGCAATTTGCATAAATCATCTGGTTAGTAGAAATAAGAATTTGCCAAAGAGTTATAATTGGAAACATTATGTACAGTCCCAAGTAATACATAAAATAGTCGAGCTTTAAAATATATACTTTCAACTGGCTTCTTCTATTCACAGTCAATTATTTCAATTCAAAAGCAAACAAAAATTCAGTAACAATCTTTTGGTGACCCTGCAGTCTGAAACACTATTTGCCCGTACCATTCAGTGGCAAGGCCATAAAAATCTGTTTTGAGTAGTATTCATCAATGTCACCATGTCACTGCATGTGATCCAAGAACGTACCTAGTATATGCTGTTGTTCGAGTAACAATATATGTACTGAAACTTCTACCAATTTTTATATGACATTGATAAATCTGATTGTTATTTTAATTTTTTGTTTAAATGTAAGAGAAATCCCACTCACAAGAAAAGTGGGGACCTATGAACATGTTCAGACAAGAGACTGACGGTAATTCCAAATATACCACCTGAAACTGTGTTACGGGGTTATGAATACAAAACAATGTATTGTTAAGATCAACATATAAATACCTAATTTCCTTGCTCAAAATCTATAGAATATTTCATGTATTCAATTGAATTGTTGTTTGAATAAATAACTACAGCATTAAATTCCATTAAATCATAAAAAGCAAGTGCATTGGTTCCATCAATATAAAGTTCAAGCACATCCAAATTGTTATCTTGACAAAAGCTGCAAATGACTGAGAAATCGTAGTCAGATAGAATGAGCAAAAATCCAACAGGTAATTCCATGTGGTCCTCAGAACTAGAATCCATTTTTTTTAAATTGCATTATGGGAGAAATAGCCTCATAATATTGGGCATATTTGGACAAAACTTATGTGTCTTGTGAATGCAACATCTATGGGTTGGAGAAATAGCCTCATAATATTGGGCATATTTGGACAAAACTTATGTGTCTGGTGAATGCAACATCTAAAAGAAAAAAAAATATTGAGGCATGGACAAATAAAATGTTTTTCATTGCGGTGCTAAAATGGGAAACACTGCTACATGTACATTATGATAGGATAGGGAGTGAAAATAAAAATATAAGCTATAACATTCACTTTTATTTTTATAAGAATTTCTCCGGAAATAGTGAAAGCTCTCTCTCAAAACAGATATCAAAAAAAATGTTGGCCTAGACAAACATGTATCAGATTCTATCATACATTCATCCAGTACTTTTTGACTGCAAATAAAAAAAAATCACACACAGGAATAGGAACACAAGGCCTAATAAACAGCTGGTCCATGAGCGCATGATACGCCCGACGTCTTGTGTGGAAGTTTTATGCAATAATCAAAAATAGTTTCTGATAAAGTTTTAAGCAATAACCATTTATTGTTTTTGAGACATGGCGGGACATGTGAAACCCCCCCCCCCCCCCCCCCTGTTTTTGTTTACAAATATCACTAAAATAAAATTTTGAATCAAACCAAAAAGTATACAGATCTTTAGATTAATATAAAAAAGAAGTGTGTACAGTTTCAAGCAATAATCATAAATTGTTTTTGAGATACGGCGTGACATGTAAAAAAAACCCTCCCCTTTATTTACAAAATACTCAATAACTCAATAATAAAATTTTGAGTCATCACCAAAAAGTATACAGATCTTTAGATTAATATAACAAAGAAGTGTGTAAAGTTTTAAGCATGTTCATAAATCGTTTTTGAGATACGGCACGACATGTAAAAAAACCCTCCCCCTTTTTTACAAAATACTCAATAACTCAAAAATGAAATTTTGAATCATCAGCAAAAAGTATACAGATATTAAGATTAATATAACTAAGAAGTGTGTAAAGTTATTTATCAAATTTAGATCAGGGAGTGACAAAATTCCTCATAACACAATACAATCTTATTGAGGAAATATCATATGCACTCTGCATGTCATATGCCTTCATAATAACATATGTGGTACATGAAAACATGTCCTTTTTAGGCTTTTTATGCTATTTTACACTGCTAAGTATTAGCTTATATCTCGAAGTGTCCTGTGATTGTCCCTTTTTATAAAATTAATGTCGAAGTGATTTTAATTGTCAGGCATTCTATGACAGTAATACATGTTCTGATTTTGTGTTGGGATCTTGTTCACCATATCCCATCTCTGTTCCATTAAATCTCAATGGGTACCGTTGGATGGTATTTAGGTATTTATATAATAAGACCAATTAATCAGACACTCATCCCTGGCAGCAAGTAAAAAGATCCTTCCCTTTAGGGACGTCTGGCAAGGCTATTTAAAAACAAATATGGGATGCCAGGAAGCCTTGCCAGACGTCATAATTATTTGGACTAGTACCTCATATGTGTAATGAAACTAAAACAGCCCCTTTCAACGGGTTTCAAACTTTCTGATCAACACTTGAACCAAAGTTGACCCGCCGTCAACCTCACTGACTGTCTGAAACAGGGGTTCAAATCACAGGCACTTGTTTCTATCCATAGGAAGGTCGACTATCCATATAAATAGAATATGGATAGAAACAAGTGCCTGTGGTTCAAATTAGCGGTGGTCTGACCTTTTAAACCAAAATTCCCAAACGATCTTTAATTTTTATTATTCATGACTACGATGTTCATTTTGTTCAACCGCTAGATTGACACCGAAAATCTCCAACAATTAATGTGTAAATCTAAGTACATGTAAGTATAATTTGTAAAATCGTATCTGGTCCTCCATTTTCAACTGGTTCCTTTTCACCGCATTAGATCATGATGAAATGTTTACTGAACAGGGAACCGCCTTTCAACTGGTTCCTTTTCACCACATTAGATCATGATGAAACGTTGACTGAACAGGGAACCGCACGGGATTTTCGAATCCACTCCGAGGGTATTCTGACTGGAAGAAGAAAGACCGATCTTTTTTTTATCATGTTTTTATTTTTATTTGTACTTCTTCAAACAGAAAAGGGTCGGCGGAATTTTATTTTTATTTTAAAATCGTGAAATACAGGGTCGGCGGATCCGTAAACCAACAAATAAAAAAAAGTGGCCTAAGACATAAATCTAGACCAACAGCTAACAAGAGGCTGTCACAACGACAGCAAACCGGATTTATTAACATTTATTTGTGTCCTGGCAATATCACAAGAACCATTACTGATGAATGGTGACTGAAATTCGTCATTATTGAACTTGACCTCCATTTGGCATCAGTAACAACATATTAAAATTTGGGAAGCTTTCGTTGAACGGTTCATGAGTTAATGCACAGACAACATTTGATTGCCGCCCGCCCGCCCGCCCTACATCCCCAAATCAATAACAGACATTTTTGTCACAAAAATCCGGTTAAAACTTAGAATCAACAACAAACAAGAGGCTGTCACAACAACAGCAAATCGGATTTATTAACATTAATTTGTGTCCTGCCAATATCACAAGAACCATAACTGATGAACGGTGAAAGTGAAAATCGTCAATATCAAATTTGACCTCCAGTTTGTCATCAGTATCAACATATTAAAATTTGAAAAGCTTAAGTTGAATGGTTCATGAGTAAATGCACGGACACAACTGGAAAAGCCACTTTTCAATCTTTCAAGAACCATAACTTCTGAACGGTAAAAGATTTTTTTTAAAGTTTACAGACAATGATGGACACAAAGTGATGGCATAAGCTGACATGGTCTTCAGCCAGGTGAAGTACAAAAAGAATAATAAGAACTGCAAATGAGTTTCAGACACTTACCTATCTGATTGAATGCCACCAGTTGATTCTTTAATAGTCTGTTTCACAGTTTTCTTTTTTTTTTCTAAAGTCACATGGTGTATCCAACCTACAAATATATAATAACATTCAAAGCTTATTAGCAGGTCCTCCCCCACTTCATGATGTCTCCATCTGAAACTACTTTATTGCCCTCTTTTTAAATATATATAAATAAGGCCTAAAAAAGAATCTGTGTTTCCGGTATTATCATTTTTATAGGGTGGGTAGCCACCGTGTATCATCGAACAGCAGATATAGGTACTAACCAAGCGAGCATGATAGATTTTCAACTGACACGGTAAATAAAAATCTTTTTTTTTATAGTTTTTATCACTCAGTGTACATTTCTCAACATCTGAAATTCCTGCTCCAAAATAATTTTCGCATTGATTTTTTCCTACATGTATGAGACAACTTTGATATTCTAATACAGGGGTTCAAATTAGCTGTGGTCTGAGGTCCATGACCTTCCACTTTAGCCTTCGGACTTTCTTTTTTGTTACTAGTTAGGCCCGACAGATCTTCAAATTATTAGAAAGAAAATAAAAATTAACTTTGCCGACCTTTTGACCACAATTTCCAAACGATATCAAAATTATTTTCATCTTCATTATTCATGAAAGCGATGTTCATTTTATTCAACCGCTAGCTTTATACCCAAAATCGTCAACACAAGAAATGTGTAAATCCAAGTAAACTCGTATCTGACTGACAAAAACAACATTGAAAACAACAGATGCCATAAACCAGAAATAAAGACAATTATTAAACCGGATCAGATTCTGGAGCAGATAAGGATAATTCCGGGTTTGCCAACCAAATACAATGAAAAAATAATAATTCCAGGCAGTTGACAAAATACATCTATAATAAATTATGAAAAATAAGAACTAGAATTTAAACTAAAGGCTCTCAAGAGCCTGTATCGCTCACCTGATTCTACCTGGGTTTTTGAAATCATATAAAAAAAAGATAAAATTTGGCTACAAAGTAACAACACTTGGCCAGCACCTCATTACGAAAGGAACATTTATGCTATGTTTGGTTTCATTCCATTCAGTGGTTCTCTAAAATTAGTCTTTTGTATGCATTTCCCATGGGGTCCTATGTTAAACTAAGTCCCCCGCTAGCGGCCATCTTGAATGATGGATCGGCTACAAAGTAACAACACTTGGTCAGCACCTCATAAGGAACATTCATGCCATGTTTGGTTTCATTGCATTCAGTGGTTCTCTAAAATAAGTCATTTGTATGCATTTCCCATAGGGTCCTATGTTAAACTAAGTCCCCCGCTGGCGCCCATCTTGAATGATGGATCGGCTACAAAGTAACAACACTTGGTCAGTACCTCATAAGGAACCATGGATTTTTCTAGCATTCCACAGGGTCCAGTTTTCGGACCCATTCCCAACGGCAAAAACCCTACATTTTTCCCAATTTTGGGAGCAAAATTCCCAAATGATCACAAAATTCATTTCCATCTTTATTATTAATGACATAGATGTTTATTTTATTCATTGAACCGCTAGCTTTATGTCAAAAATTGCCAACAAGTAATGTGTAAATCCAAGTTAAAACATATTGAACATTTTTAAACAAACAACATTGACAAAAAATGGCTGCCATAAATAAACAGGAAGTATGGGGGAAATACTAAAACCAGATCAAATCGGGAAACGGACAAGTATATAATTCCGGGTTTGTCAATAAAAAACAGTAAATAAAAAAATTAAAAGAACCAAACATTTGACAGCTGACTTAGCAACACTAAAATTGAAAACTAAAAGATATATAAAAAAAGAAAATAGAAACAGGATATATTTTATACAGAACTCACAATATTTCAGTTCACAAATTTTCATGTCAAAACAAAAAATGTAACAATCCTCAAGAAGTTAGAACTCATTATTTTGATACTCAAATGTCATGTTGTTATATTTAAAAACAAAGAAGGTATAGTCCTTACTTTATTTTCACCAACAAAAAAATGTTTTTAATGAATTAAACACACTAAAACTAACATCAGGAATATTGGTTGTTTTTCCCAATCTCATTGAAAACCGCGTTAAAAAATTCCCAAAACTGGCCAGGGTCCTTTTTCCCAAAATACCCAGATAAACCCCTGGGAACATTCATGCCATGTTTGGTTTCATTCTATTCAGTGGTTCTCTAAAAGAAGTCATTTGTATGCATTTGAACTGTTAAATATAATGGTATAATTAGTAACTTATTACAAATAGTTGAGACACTACACACCCATCCACAACGACACCCTCCCAAATACCCCCCAAAAAAGATTATTTGAATTGATAATATATACAAGACAATTACATTTTTTTATTAAACATGTTAAACAACAGTGATTTTGACATTGAAACCAGCTAAAATTAACCTAACACTAAAAACACATTAATATTGTATCTTACTGAGCTAGGAAATATTTCAAGTAAAAGTAGGACCTGGAATTTAGCCTTTTTTTATTTAGGTTGTGGACCTTTCAGTTTCGAGTGTCAAAGGTCCTGGACCTTCCAGTACCAAATGTTAGTTTGAACCCCTGTAATAAGAACAATTGACTAGCAAATGCGCAAATACATGTAGTTGTGAATGTCAACACCAACTTTCAATTTCGATACAATTGAGACATTTACATGTTTTACCTGAAAGAAAGCCAATACAGGGCAAAAAAGAATAGTTACCAATCATAAACCTACCTGTGATTATTCATTCCTTGAAACCTTTTGGGTAGTAAACGAGTATGAAAATTGTGTATGGCATACAGCTACTTATTTTAAACTATGCACCGTACAAACAGATTTATGTGGTCAGCTAACCACCATACACAACGCTTCTTTTCAGAATAAAATATCAAAAAAATATATGCATGAAAGATTCCAATGCAAATGAAATTATTGATACAGCCATACTTAATGCACATGCACAGTGGCCTTCTATCAGAAAAAGAGTTGCAATAAATACAGAATTATATCGGATGAGACGAATGCCAAATTCTTTGACAAGTTTTTGCACATGTTTTTAATATTCGTTCTTCTTTTGGGAAGATAATTAGACATCATTTATCATAAACCTGCCAACAAATCATTTCTAAAAACAACAATTAGGTTTAGATTGACAGATTGAAGTACACATTGATATTATGTGAACAAAACAAAGATTTTCTATACCGTGTGAGGCAAAAATCGATCACACCTGCTTGGTTAGTACCTATAACCGGTGTTCTGATGATACACAGTCACTGAGTGGTAGCTTTAAAGTTAAATATCGTATACAACTACAAGTACATGATACTGGAAGAAAATTTCTTTGATTTTTTTTTGCTTAACAGTCAACAGAAATATATGGGCCAGTTTATTTTTTCTCTTCATTTTTTTTTTCTAAAGATCCCCCCTCTCCCCATTTCCCTCGAAAAAAATTGGTCCGTGCCTGAAAACCTCACCTGCAGCTTCCAGTATTAAATTCTTGAAAAAAATACACGCGCCTCTTCTAAAAGATCAGTGTGTTATTTCTAGATGTCGTATGATTTATTTAATAATATTCCATTTACAAATATTGTTTCATTCTTAAAAGAAATTGGAATATATTATAAAATATAAAAATGTTGTTATATTTAAAACGATTTTAATTTTTATCACGTTATCTTAGTGTTGATTTTTATTTGTAAATAATCAATTTGCTTTAGTCTAGAATTTTAGTTTATTGAAAGACCTTTTGTCTGATTTTAAAAATATACCTTAAATTGTTATAATATTCGAATTAGCTCTCGCCGCGATATAGCCTTTCTGTGCTAATGCGGCGTAAAGCAAATAACAATCAATCAATCAATCTAAAAGCAGTTTTTCAATCGTAAACTCTCCCCAGCTATCGAAGCAAAGTAGCCAACCATTATCATACTGATAAATGTGGCCATCAAATGACGAAATTGCACTTGTTTCTTCTAATTTCAAAACAAAAATCGATGGCATATTAAAAATGTATCGATCACCGGAAATAACTTAAGCCACATAAAAAGAGGATAGCTTTATTACTTCTTAATGGGTAGTAACAACTCGTAGAAAATACTCACTTATTTCGACGTTTTCTTCCCACCATTATGGCCATCAAAATTACTCGTAACTTCTCGGGACTTATCATTTACAAGTACCGATCACGTGATCAAAAGGCGCGAAAAATAGTTATATTGGCGCTCTTTTTTTCAACTGGTGTAAGGGGGGTAATTCAATTCATTTTTTTTTTCTAAAGATCCCCCCTCTCCCCATTTCCCTCGAAAAAAATTGGTCCGTGCCTGAAAACCTCACCTGCAGCTTCCAGTATTAAATTCTTGAAAAAAATACACGCGCCTCTTCTAAAAGATCAGTGTGTTATTTCTAGATGTCGTATGATTTATTTAATAATATTCCATTTACAAATATTGTTTCATTCTTAAAAGAAATTGGAATATATTATAAAATATAAAAATGTTGTTATATTTAAAACGATTTTAATTTTTATCACGTTATCTTAGTGTTGATTTTTATTTGTAAATAATCAATTTGCTTTAGTCTAGAATTTTAGTTTATTGAAAGACCTTTTGTCTGATTTTAAAAATATACCTTAAATTGTTATAATATTCGAATTAGCTCTCGCCGCGATATAGCCTTTCTGTGCTAATGCGGCGTAAAGCAAATAACAATCAATCAATCAATCTAAAAGCAGTTTTTCAATCGTAAACTCTCCCCAGCTATCGAAGCAAAGTAGCCAACCATTATCATACTGATAAATGTGGCCATCAAATGACGAAATTGCACTTGTTTCTTCTAATTTCAAAACAAAAATCGATGGCATATTAAAAATGTATCGATCACCGGAAATAACTTAAGCCACATAAAAAGAGGATAGCTTTATTACTTCTTAATGGGTAGTAACAACTCATAGAAAATACTCACTTATTTCGACGTTTTCTTCCCACCATTATGGCCATCAAAATTACTCGTAACTTCTCGGGACTTATCATTTACAAGTACCGATCACGTGATCAAAAGGCGCGAAAAATAGTTATATTGGCGCTCTTTTTTTCAACTGGTGTAAGGGGGGTAATTCAATTCATTTTTTTTTTCTAAAGATCCCCCCTCTCCCCATTTCCCTCGAAAAAAATTGGTCCGTGCCTGAAAACCTCACCTGCAGCTTCCAGTATTAAATTCTTGAAAAAAATACACGCGCCTCTTCTAAAAGATCAGTGTGTTATTTCTAGATGTCGTATGATTTATTTAATAATATTCCATTTACAAATATTGTTTCATTCTTAAAAGAAATTGGAATATATTATAAAATATAAAAATGTTGTTATATTTAAAACGATTTTAATTTTTATCACGTTATCTTAGTGTTGATTTTTATTTGTAAATAATCAATTTGCTTTAGTCTAGAATTTTAGTTTATTGAAAGACCTTTTGTCTGATTTTAAAAATATACCTTAAATTGTTATAATATTCGAATTAGCTCTCGCCGCGATATAGCCTTTCTGTGCTAATGCGGCGTAAAGCAAATAACAATCAATCAATCAATCTAAAAGCAGTTTTTCAATCGTAAACTCTCCCCAGCTATCGAAGCAAAGTAGCCAACCATTATCATACTGATAAATGTGGCCATCAAATGACGAAATTGCACTTGTTTCTTCTAATTTCAAAACAAAAATCGATGGCATATTAAAAATGTATCGATCACCGGAAATAACTTAAGCCACATAAAAAGAGGATAGCTTTATTACTTCTTAATGGGTAGTAACAACTCATAGAAAATACTCACTTATTTCGACGTTTTCTTCCCACCATTATGGCCATCAAAATTACTCGTAACTTCTCGGGACTTATCATTTACAAGTACCGATCACGTGATCAAAAGGCGCGAAAAATAGTTATATTGGCGCTCTTTTTTTCAACTGGTGTAAGGGGGGTAATTCAATTTCACCTCTCTTGGACTTCCATTTAATTGGAACTTTAAAATCCATATACAGGGAGTCTCTTTTTTAAAATGATTTTAAATAGTCCAAGTATGCTAAAAATAACTGTCCAACTTGGTCTCTTGTGTGGCTAGACCCATAAGAGAAAAAAGCCACATAAGTATTTAAAATACTAAATTGTAGCCACATATGTATGTGTATGTAAACGCGGACGGACGGACAGACGGACAACGGTATACCATAATACGTCCCGTAAACGGGCGTATAAAAATATATGATATTTTTTTTCAGTTATTGACATTAAATTTTGTTTGTCTATTCGTTTTCCCCCCGGTGGATCTCTATCCTTGCCGTGGTCGGGGGGCTTGCGTGTCTCAGTGACCCCAAGAGCTATGCCAGTTGGAGCTTCGTCTCCTGGTAGGGTTACCCATGCTGGACAGGTCGAAGGGTAGAGACCAGACTAAAGTGATCCGAACATCGTATGAGTTGCCCGATGTTTTAAATAAAATAGGCTCTCCAACCCGTTGGCCGTGGGTTGCTACCCGTGTCGGTGGTTGACGAGATCCTTGCGGATGAGGGCTGTAGCCAGACTTCTTACGGTCAGAAAAATACCCGGACGGACGAGACTATAGTTCAATAAGCTGCTTTGGCTCCAATATCATCTAAACGGGAGGTCGGATGGACCCGGTTCGATCAATCGGCTGGTCATGTCGAGCCCTTCAGTTAATCCTCAACAATAAGCTTTCTTGTAACAATTTTCATTATATACACATGTGTTTTAAATTAAGCTATTTATATTCCGGATAACTGAAGAAGGCGATGGCTCATGGGTCAATCAAGTGGTACGCTTTCTATTTCGCTTGATGGATACGCTCTGCTTGAGTATACTATTCTTGGAACATCTGGTGCTTTCCGCAGTGGATCTTGGGTGCTAATTTTGGGGACCAGCTACGTTATACATGTTATACTTGGAGCTCGTTTTCAGCATTAGCACTTGACCCCGGCTCGCCACGGAAACACAGCATCGCCCTTGTAGGCACTCCGAGGTGGGTGGATGACAAGAATGGTGAATCTTTCTCATTTCCTATGGCACAACAAAACCAACCCTCTAAATCAGCTTTAATACATAAAAAAAGAAAATGTGATGATTCAGTGCCCTGTCAGGAAGATGACAGTTGGCCCAGATTTATTGTAATAAAAGGAACAGATGAAAAACCAATTTCCAAAATATCTCCCTTTGTGATTCACAAACAAATTCAAAGCGTTGCTGGTACTGTAAAAAAAGTTTCAAAAATGAGATCAGGCAATTTGTTGGTTGAATGTTCCAACAAAAGTCAGTCAACAAATTTGCTTACACTGACAACAATTACAAACTTTCCTGTTTCTGCCTCTCCTCACAACAGTTTGAACAGCTGTAAGGGGATCATTCGAGACAGAAGTCAATACCTTGGTGACCTTACCGTGGAAGAAATCTGTGAGGAACTTTCAAGCCAAGGTGTAACTGATGTTGTTAGATTTCAAATAAAAAAGAATGGAAATATAATCAAATTAAATACATATCTTTTGACATTTAGAACTCCAACTCCTCCTCCATCTATTACTTTAGGTTGCTTCGGAATCAGAGTTGACAGGTTTATCCCTAACCCAATTCGATGCTTCACTTGTCAAAAGTTTGGTCATGGAAGCAAACAATGTCGTGGTACGCAGAGATGCTTCAAGTGTTCTGACGAAGGACACGAGGGAACAACCTGTAGCTCTGAATCTTCTAAATGCGTAAACTGTGGTGAATCCCATTTTTCATCATCTAGGGACTGCCCTGTTTACCTTAAAGAAAAAAATATTATCAAAATTAAAACAGAAAGAAACATCAGTTACCCAGAAGCTAAACAGATAGCTTCTGTTTCGAATGATCTCCTTGTTTCGAACAGACCATCGTACGCCAGCAAAGTTGTCCGCTCATTCAGTCACGAGCATACACAAACTCGCATGACCTGGCCAATTGATGCTGAGACATTTACAATGCTGCCTGTTGAAACAGAACCTAACGATAAAATATTAGTTCCAAGAAAACCAACACCTTCTAAAACCAGTACTCAGTCAACTCAATCTTCCTTACAGAGCTCAATGTCATCATCTAAAAATAATGAAAAAAAGAAATCAAATAAAAAAGATACAGTTAAATCAGACAGTTTGGGCGGTGAATCTGTCTGGGATCTTCCCAGTGACAAAGATGATTCTTCCATCTCCAATAGTCCTCCTTCATCTGCATCTAATAAAACTAGTTTATCTTCTGCATCTAGTACAAAGTCTTCTAAAGCCCCGTCTCCTCTTCGTTCTCCAGAACAGAAGGATGTCCCAAAGAAGCCAGCAAATACATCCTCTCAGAAGTCTTCTGATTCGAGGTCGCGGGGTAGGGGTCGAGGCGGAGTAAAACCAGCTGCGCATGGTCCTGGAGATCGACGACTCTCCTCATACAACAGATTATCAACACTTAACGACGAATCAGAAATGGAAATCGAAAGTGTTCCGCCACCCGAAAGTTTACAATCTCAGGGTGAGCGAAATAAGAATGCTGGCAAACTCGATAGCATTCGCCCGTCTATTAACAAATCATGACTAATATCATCCAATGGAATTGCCGAGGTCTTAAAATAAATCTTCTCGAGTTAACGCTTCTAGTTCAGTCATTTTTACCTACTGCATTTTGTCTTCAAGAAACTCATTTAAAAGAAAGTGACAATGTATCTTTAAAAGGATACAACATGTATAGCACATTTTCTAAGGTAGATGAACGTGCTGCAGGCGGATCATCCATTTTTGTGAAGGACAACGTCATTCATAGCACAGTCCAACTCACCACGGATCTGCAGGCAGTTGCAATTCGTTTATCATTAGATAAAACAATTACATTATGTTCTATATATATTCCACCCAATTCAATTATAGATAAAGCTAAACTCAAAAACCTCACTGATCAATTACCCTCACCATTTATACTTATGGGCGACTTCAATGCACACAACCCCTTGTGGGGAAGCAAGTCTCATAATATCAAAGGTAAGATCATTGAGGACTTTGTCTCTCAAGAAGGATTATGCATTTTTAATAATGGATCTAATACTTATCTTCATCCTGGAAACGGGTCTTATTCTGCTATTGATATCACTATTTGCGATCCCTCTCTTCTTCTGGATTATTCATGGCGTGTTCATGATGATCTATGTGGAAGTGATCACTTTCCAATAGTACTTGAACATCTTTTTACTTCTGCCCAACAGAGAGTACC